TCCATGGAACCATTGGGTATTTAGGTTTTCTTAGGAGCTCCAGTATTTCTCACAAGTAAGCAGGAGGAAAGTCAGGAGTCTGTGTCTAAATTCTAGTTTCCAGTCAATGACTTGAGTCAAGCAAGATGGTCAACATGGCAGGCAGGCAGCTAGTATTAGAAGAGGAGGTCAGCAGTTTCAGCATCCTTGTTTTTTTTTTTTTAATTATTGGGACAGATTTCTTTTTAGATTCAAGGTTTTAACAAACTAATATTGTCATTGCTTCATTAATTTGCAAGAAATTAGTTAGCAAGGCAGCCAACAGACTTCCCATCATTCTGATACAGTTATAGAGCTATTAAAGCCAGGTTGTCATAGCATTGAAGGGATTAGGGGGCTGGATACTTGTTATCCACTGTGAACAGCCTATTGAGTCTTGGATTCTTGTGGACTTCTAAGAAAGTTGGGGCAGGATTAGACACTGTGCTGAGGTTCACACTTACATCGAATAGAGAGTTCAACTGGAGCATGTCAAGCATATGCTATGTAAAAGGTATACATCTGGGGAAAAAAAAGGGTGACTGTACAGACTTTTACAAAGGGAACCAGTCATTTAAATATTCCCAGAGCATAAGTACAATGCAGCAAAGAAACAACAGAGCAAGTATTCATGTAATGAAGAGATTTACCCTGCATCCATTGTAGGCTGTCCTCTATAGCAAGCTGTTCTTTTCACATGACCATTGACTACAGGTAGAGCCAGAAGAGGGATTAATATCATTAATACCATTCTGAGGAGTGCTGTGGAATGCCCACCAACACTCTGCTCGGTGGACATTACTGAGAAAGTATACAAGTTGCTTTACATCTATGCCAGGCTAATTAGTGATGGTAGTGCTGTAGAAACCTATGCCAGTGATCAATGAGACAAAGACATACCAAACACTGGGCCATGGTTTTGTGCTGTTATGCAGTTTAGGGCACTGCACTGTTCCCAAGAGCTCACACTCCAACGTAGATCTACTGGAAGTCAGGAAAACAGCAGGATACTTTGACTATTTTATTTTCAGATCTGCAGTAGAAGACCTAATTGGTGTTGCCATGGACCATGCTTCCAATTTTAATTTTTGAAAGGACAAAGTGATCTTAGGAATCAGTCAGATTAACTATACCATTACTAATTTAATGTAGCATATTTTGCTAGTCAATGTCAACAATGATTTCCTTTCATTTTTTTAATTATTATTATTTACATAATAATAAAGATGATTATGAAGATGATAATAGTAGTAGTAATAATAATAGTAATATTGTTATGATGATGATGTTGTTAAAGTCGCCCATATCAGTCCTAGCCCACAAACACATGCTTATGTAAGCATTTTTATGTTGGGAACAAGGTATCCAAAATTCTGTGCCTCAAAATGCACAATTTTAATTTTAATTTTTGAAAGGACCAAGTGATCTTATAAATCAGTCAGATTAACTATACCATTACTAGTTTAATGTTGCATATTTTGCTAGTCAATGTCAACAATGATTTCCTTTCATTTATTACTATTATTATTATTATCATTTTTATTAATTATTATTATTTATATTATAATAATAAGGATGATGATGAAGATGATAATAGTAGAAGTAGTAGTAATAGTAATAGTGTGATGATGATGATAATGTTGTTGTTAAAATCTCCCATATCAGTCCTAGCCCACAAACACATGCTTATGTAAGCATTTTTATGTTGGGAACAAGATATCCAAAATTCTGTACCTCAAAAGGAAATTATGGTTTACAGAATATTATTTGCAAAAATACTAATATAACTTCATCAACTATTTCAGAATGAAGCTATATAAAAAACTGTAAAACTGTGACTCTATAAATTACAGGCCAAGGATCTGTTTGCTACTGTTATGTGAAACATTGAGGTCACCCACCTTAGAACCAGTCAGGCTGCAAAGATTACACATGGAGCAGCAATATCAATGTATCCAAGATGCATGAACTGCTGATCAGTGAAATGCTACAGTGAGTGACAGCATGAAAACATGAATCCTATAGGAGGAGGCACTTTTATTTCTCAATTATCAACAGGTTTGTAAGGAATTTGCATACACTGTGTAAAAATACATTAAATGGCAATACAGGCAAATGATTTTCATCGTTGCCCATGGTTTATTTGTATTATTTGACACAGGTTAAACCCAGCTATGATCATTTCTGAGATATCTACAGAAAAAAAATCAAATTGTGCATAATGAGGTCGATAATTTTGTCCTAGTATGATTAGGTATTTAAAGTGACTTTAACATACTGTGGGGTTGGGTATTAAAGGCAAGTAGACTGTTCACTTAGCAAAGTGCAGTTGCACTCTGCAAGAGCATTTGCTCCAGAGCTTAGTAAATGAGCAGAGGCACTGCTGACTTCCATCATCCAATCATGTGCAAGCAAAAATGTTGTTTTTTTTTTAATTTTCTTTGCATGTGATTAGTTATTCTTTGTAAAGTGAAACTTTCCTTCATTTACTAATCTCTCCAGCAATTGCACTTGCAAAATGTATGGTCTATTTGGCTTTAATAAATCAATCTCTGTATGCACTAACATTCACTTTGCTCAGTCGGCAGACTTTACTACATTAGTAAATCAACCCATTGATTTCCAAGTTCGGCTGGCCATACATTCTACGATTTTCTAAAGAATTTTGCTTTAGATTTACCAAAAACCATATAATATGAGGTCAAACCTAAACAACACTTTCAACTATATCCAATTAGGCAGGCCCTTGCACTACATAGTTGAAGGTAAATCTAAAGGAAATAGGGCAGATATTGTACAGAAAATTGTATAGTGTATGGCCAGCAATGGTATTGTGGAATGCACAATGGGGATTTACTGAAGTAGTAGAAACTGTTCATTTAGCTTTGTTACCCAATCATGTGCAGAAAGAATAAAGAACAGGATTTCACCTTCCATATTACTGAATATTTGAAGTGAACACATCGTCATTACAGTGACTATTGTGAGGATATTCGCTATTCCTCTAATAAATCAACGGCACTGAGCACATGGCCACAGTGATAGGCTCTGAGTACATGTGTCTCCCTATGATTCCTGGCAATTCATAGATTAATAGAATAGAGGTCAAACCGTTTTTGTCCAGATAAAGCAATCCATGCGGCAAAGTACATTCACAGGAGGGTCTGTTTATTTAAATCCCTATACCATAGTAGTGTATCATTATACCAAAGAAGTGCAAACACTCCATTCAAATATTTTTTTTTTTAATTAGTGCTAATGTTGAAAAAATGCTGCACTCGGCATTATGTATAACAGAGGCAAAGATTGTATAACTAGGAATGGTGAATTGTTGATTTATCAGAACGATGATTTGGTAAAACCCAGAAATCCCCCCTCCAATACACACCATAATAGCGATGTGCTGCCAGCAAGACCATTTCCTGCCCTGTCTGGGGCTGTCTTTGTGGCACTCTGCTGAACCTTGCCCTCTGCTAGAAAGGGGCTATTGCTAGCAGTGCTCAGACCTATTCATATCAATGACTGGCTTTAATAGGCGGCATAGCCGGAGTGCCATAGAGATAGTGAGAGCCACTTCTGCCTGCCTTCCATCACTCATCTGGCTGCTCTGCCTGACCATGGCTGCATCACTACATAGAGCATCCTCATACGCTAGGGAAGAGTCCCCTTATATACATACAAATATATATATTTATATATACATACAAATATATATATATATATATATATATATATATATATATATATATATATATGTCATATAGCATCCCAACCTAGAGATCAAATGGCAACAATTTTAGTATATAAAAGATAAATGTGCAGTAACTCTTAGCAACCAATCAGAATTTGCCTTTCACTGAACTTACTTCATATACCAAAATCTGGTTGGAGGCTATGGGATGGGCACCACTGTACACTTTTGGGTTTGTTTAGTAAAGGGAGTTGAGAATCTTTACACATGTGTACGTCTTTCCTTCAATTATTTATTCATGTGCAGACGAAATAAGTAAAAAGAAATGTGATTGTCCCAATTTATTGAAGATAATCAGTCCTTTTGTAAAATTGACCTTACTATCAATGTACATGAGAAATTAATTTATTCAGTTGCCATGTGATTATCGTTGAATAGCAGGGAATGGTCCCTTTGATCACAGGGACTATTTGAAATTGGTCTGATGTATGTAAAAATTAGATTGTTATAAAACTATGTGATAAAAACATGTTTGATCTGTAGGAATAAATACTGCAAAAATAATCTCCTGGACATTAGCCATCCATTTCCAGGCATTTCCAGGCAACTGTGGTCAATGGGGAAAAAGGGAAGTAGGCTGCTGTGGGTTATTATTCTAGTATTTAGCAGTTTGTTAATGAAACCACAGCTAGATTACATTTTAAATTACATTAAATTAGATTTTTTTTTTCTTGAACCAAAGTTGGGCTACATTGTTGATTTGTCTAAATTGTTTTTGCATAATTGTGAAAATGTCAGCTATTACTGAACAAAAAAAATAATGCTGGATAGTTCCAACCTGAAATGAACTCCCCCACGTTGAATCTTATAATGAGATCTGATTTCATGTTTCCGCTAAAAAAAAATGATCAAATCAAGCACAACTGGTTGACATTTTTATTTAAATAAATATAAATATACTGCCGTTTTGTATAAAACTACTCACATGCAGGTGAGTCCTGAACATAGGTATAGAGATTCAACTATTTACAAGCTTTTACACAGTATCTACAGATGGAGCTAGTCACCTGCTTGGAGCAGAGCACACATGTACGATCAGATCTGACTCCGACCATGACATACAACTATACTATGCTCCCACACACACAAGTTGCGATTCTCCAGCTGTTTCGGAACTGCCAGTCCTGTAGATCAGCTGTTGGTACTTGTAGTTCATCAACAGTCATTGGCCTCCAGTCTCTTGTCTATAGAGGTGCAGAGTGACTGCAGGACAGTTTGTAGATGACATCTTCTATAAAGGTGAGATGTCCTTGTCCTCAGTGGTGGATGCTGGGGATAGGGAAGCTTCATCTTCTGAGCCAGGGTAATGAGTCTGGCCGCTGGCACATTTACAGCCCCCATGGCTGCTCCTCTGAGCCCCCTTGTTCTCTTTCTTGTGCTTCACCCTCCTGTTCTGGAACCAGATCTTCACCTGCTTCTCGGACAGGTTCAAGTAGGTGGCAATCTCAATCCTCCGGAGCCTGGACAGGTACATGTTGGAGGAGAATTCCCTCTCTAGCTCCAAGAGTTGGGTGCTGGTGAATGCTGTCCTCATCCTTTTCCCATTCTGGATCTGGCCACTCTCTGCTCCTCCTAAACACAATTAGACAAAAATAAGTTTACATTAAAATGTATCCAAATCCAAGAACACAAACTGATAGTATGGCAGGTTACTGGACTACAGATGTGCTGACTGCATTCGTTTTCTTTTCACACTTGTGTTTCTTTATTTTCATCTGGTTATCATGTCATTTGCCCACTTTTTGTCTTAGGGTGACAACCCTACTGAGCAGCATTGTTAGCCTTGGGCAAGGAGTGTGTTTGGACTACATAACACCTCCTTCTCTTCTCCATACTGGGGAGGTGTTTTGCAGTCTTTGGAGATAGCAGGGAACAATGCTAACTGATAACAGTCCAGGGGCAGAAAGTACAGGGTGGTATCAGCTCCCAGGATTTCTGGCTGGATGTACAGCTATTTATTATGATTATTTGCTTTATTATTATTATTTACTTTATTCATTACAGGTACTTATATTGCGTTGTCAATTTACACAGTGCTTTACATACATATATTGTACATTCACATCAGTCCCTAACCCTCAAGGGGCATTTTATGATGATTATTATTATTAGTGAAGCAGTAGCATATATTAAAAAAAAAACAAAAAGTAGGCTATTATGAGAACCTTTTGTCAGAGTTTACATAACTCTTTACTAAATAAGTAAAGGCAATCACGTAGATATACTTTTAGGTGATCTCTGAAAACCTCTCTCTTCAGGGAAGCCTATCCTGCCTTCAGCTCATAACTGAATCTTCTATTTCTCCCATCAGTTCATTCCACCACAGTTATTACCTTTTGTACCACCAGCCCCTTCCTCTTAGATTGTAAGCTCCAATGAGCAGGGCCCTCCTATCCCTCTTGTATTGAACTGTATTGTTGCTGTATTGTCTCCCGTTATATTGTAAAGCTCTGAGCAAACTGATGGCGATATATAAAACCTGTATTATAATAATATACAACTGAAACAAATATTTTTATTCTATAGCTGACAGCATAGGCTAAACCTGTATATCTTTTAGGTATTTCATATACTGCAAGCCTGGAAAGCTCACATTTCAGAATGTAGGATGGGAAGGAGCCTAAACTGGACTTACATTTTTGCAACAGAAAAGGGATAACACCTGCTTTCTATCACATAACATCACTTAAAATTGCTCTTTTCTGATGACTCCAGCATTGAGAAATTCTACTATCTACTGGGGAGCTGTATTTGGCATGGTTAGCCTGTATGTGCTGGCAAATCTCATTATCAGTTGTACACTAGATCCAAACACAGTCTGTCCTAACAATAAGTAAAGGCAATCATATAGATATACAACTGAAATAAAAGCGTTTTATAGCTGACAGCATAGGCTAAACCTGTATATCTTTTAAGTATTTCATATAAAGCAGGCCTGGAAAGCTCACATTTCTGAATGTAGGATGAGGAGGAACTTAAACTGGATTTCCATTTTTGCAGCAGAATCTGCTTACTATTTGTTAAATGTCCTCACTCACATAACATCACTGAAAAATGTTCTTTTCTGATAACTCCAGCTGTCCAGCACTGAGAAATTCTACTATTTATCACAGCTGAGGAGCTATATTTGGCCTGGTTAACCTGTATGTGTTGGCAAATCTCATTATCAGCTGTACACTAGATCCCAGCAGAGTCTGTCCTAACAATAAGTAAAGGCAATCATATAGATTACATGATGTATTTTATACCTGACAGCATAGGCTAAACCTGTATATCTTTTAGGTATTTCATATACTGCAGGCCTGGAAAGCTCACATTTCTGAATGCAGGATGGGAAGGAGCTTAAAATGGATTTCCATTTTTGCAGTGGAGTAGAGATAACATCTGCTTTCTATTTGTTACATGTCCTCATTCACATAACATCATTTATAAATGTTCTTTTCTGATAACTCCAGCACTGAGAAATTCCACTATTTATCACAGCTGGGAAGTTGTATTTGCCATCGTTAACCTTGTATGAATGTGCTGGCAAATCTCATTGTCAGTTGTAAACTATATTCAAGCACAGTCTGTTCTAACAAAGGGTTAAACATTTAGAAGCTGGGCTTCTTCATTGTATGTTAATGAGAGGTAACTCTGCCTGTCCTGAGCCTATCCATTGGCAGACTTGCTCTGAAAAGGTTTAGAATTGTTTGCAATCTCCTAAGAAACATCTTTGCCCTGTGCAGCATAAAGACACTGAGGGAGATTTACTAAAGCAGGAGCACTCAGAATCAGGTGCAGCTGTGCATGGTAGCCAATCAGCTTCTAACTTCAGCTTGTTCAGTTAAGCTGTGACAATTAAACCTGGAAGTTAATTGGTTTCTATGCATGGCTGCACTAGATTGTGCAGCTCCAGTTTTAGTAAATCTCCACCATTGCATATTTCTGATGTTCTGGGTGTCCAAGAGCTACCTATAGCCACCCATATAGATGAATAGGTGAATGCAACTGTATGCAGCTATTTTCATAAAGAAGGGCACATGCAGAGATGTAACGCACTGAAGGCACCTAAGGTGCATTCGGTGCATTATGTCTGTGCCCGTGTACTTCTAAAGGCTTCATTCACACAGCCATAAAAAACAAATTAAAAAATGATTTTATTTATGGTTCTGAATGCAGCTGTGTTGTTTTGAATGAAGGCATTAATACTGGTGCATAAACATGCACTACATTCAGATTCGTAACACAAAATCCAAAAATCCGCGTCGAGGACATGCGTATACATGTATACGATTGTTAAAAAGAACAGAACAATTTTTACGCATGGATCTATTTACTGATTATTTACGTAGCACCTTTTTACAAGGTCTGACGCAAATATCGGTGCATGGATGTGTACAGCTGCCTTCACCATTCATGTCTATGGGTGGCTGTAGCTCTTGGACATTCTGCACACCAGAAACACACAGCAGCATCTTAGGATGTATGAGCAAATATGCCCATGGGCATGCAGCCTAAAAGGTAGGCTTTTTTTTAAAAAAAAAAAAACATTTCTAGGCATGCTGTGTGAATGGAAACCCATCACCAACATATAGTGGGGTTTTCTCAAATTTGACTGCAAAAGTGGAATACCCTTTTCAAGTTCACACAGTGTGCAGGCATGATTCAAAAAGCAGAAATATAAAATGATTACAGGCTCATAATATAATTTCATTCTCTTAAGGGTAAAGTAGACACCCAGGGGTTAACTTAGCTCACTGAGGCTTCACTTCAATTATCCAATCATAGGCAAGGGAAATCCCTGTCTTTTTAAAATCCCTCTACATATGATTGAGTGTTTGCAGTGAACAGTAAATGGATCATAGAAAGTAATGATAGATCCATTGATGATATATGTAATATATATTATGGTTATGCAGCTTTGCTCAAGTTAGTTGTATTGATTTTAGGCTAAAAAGTGACATTCCTCTATGGGACAAATATGCAGACAATTAGCCACCTGTGCTTTATGTATGATGGTTGCAAAACCATTCTTGAACCTTTTTTTTATGAATGATTAAATACTACTACTACTACTACAACTACTACTACTATTACTACTACTACTGCTGCTACTACTACTATTAATAATGATAATAATAATAACAACATTAACAGATAATAATCATCATCATCATCAATAATAACGTAATAGTAATATTATTATTTATTTTATTAAATAAAATAAATAAATAATAATATTGATAACTCTTGAACCTTTTTTAAATAAATGATTAAATACTACTATGACTACTGCTGCTAATATGAATAATAATAAAAATGATAATAATAACAACATTAATAAATAATAATAATAATAATAATGTAATAATAATATTAATAATTCTTGAACATGTTTTTAAATAAATGATTAAATACTACTACTACTGCTGCTTACATTAATAACAACAATAACAGCAACAACATTATTATTAAAAGTAATAATAATACCAATAAGAAGAAGAATTTAATAATTCTATAAATAACATATTTTTTATATTCATACTATATAAACGAGAAGACCCAGAAATGTATCTAGAATGCACAGAAATTAATAAAAAAAATAATTGGCAGAATTTAGCAGACTATATATTTGATGTTCTTGCAAGGGTTAACCCACTGGCATATTCTATTGTATATATACCCCCCATAGGAAAAATACGGATTATTCCCCATGAATGATGCCCCCAGCAATTCAGAAGCATTTATTAAAGAGAATTGTGTGTAAAGCTCCTTCTGCCTGGGTAGCCTTGTTTCATGCAGTCCAGCACACGTCACATTGATGCCCAGAATGTGCCCACATGCCCAGATGTGGAGGAGATGGGAAGAAGTGGTGAAGGTCTCTCTTACCCATTGACAGGCAGTGGAATCTGCGAGGATCCGTCACGTTGTATGATGGACTGCAGACGGGCGGGTGTGCCGGGTGGACCATGGCTGGGGTGGGCTGCTGGCTCATCCTTTGGCAATACTGGGCATCTCCTCCACCTTGGAAGTGGCTCTTGAGCAGAGGGATGGTGCTTCTGGAGGAGTGCAGGTGAGAGCTGACACAGATGGGACACACACAGAAGCTGCCACTTTTCCTGGATGGGCACACAGGAGCAGCCACAGACATAACTGGAGGGGAGGGCATGCTGATGGGCAAGAAGAAGTCCTGTCCATGGTGGTGATGGTGGTGATCATGCAGTGGTGGAGCAGGTCTTGGAGAGTCCTTTATGATCAAAGAATCGACATAAAAAGACCTGGACATCTCAGATCCCTTGGGGCAGACAGACAGCTTTCACTCTCCTTCAGATGAGCTTTCCTCTGAAGCTCACACAAGGCTCACAAGGTGCTTATGTTGAATAGCTAAACAAAAGGGTCCCTGGAGAGGGCTGGTCCTAACGTCACCCACGTGTACCCCATCCTGGCATTCTCCACAGACCAATGAGAGCACGTGATCACAGCTCCATCTCACCCACTTCATTAAAGCCCACTTGATGGCTTGTCCAAGTTAACCAACTAACGGGGGGAGGAAACTTGGGGAAATGTTTTGTTTGTTCATTTCATTCAGATACAGAAAAGATACATTGCAGGGAGCAGCAGTGAAATTTAAACCCAGATTGCAACAAAGTATCAGAAGAGTGTTTGCTACTTTTCTGGTGCAGGTATTGATTATTAGCAGGACTTTTGTTTTGATATGAAAAAAATAAAAATCAACTTTTGTAGCTAATAATAACCATTACATAGTTGGTTTTGTTTGTTTGTTTTTTTAATAGATCAGTTTGCTTTTTCATATGAGCTGTCTTAAAGTGACAGCAGACTATGGTTTAAAAAATTCTATTGAAGTATGTATTCTTAAAGTGGAACATTACTCTCTCAATCAACAGTGATTGCTTGTATTCCTTGTGCTGCTAGCATTAGTAAATACATAGGAATTTATGTCATATTTACTTGTTTTAGGGTCAGTTCACACCTTGCTTGCATCTGAATCGCACAAGAAAGTGCTGTGCATTCCTGTGCGATTCAAACTGTATGCAAAACGCACTACTTTTGCGATCTGCAGCAGGTGACAAAAATTTAGCAACACCGCAAATGCAGGTCACAAATGCAGTGCAACGCTTTTGGTGCAGTGTGGTGCGATTTTAGGCCATTCAAAATGCATGGACTGAAAACGCACCGCACAGATCCACATGTGAATCGCACAGGAGCGCACAGCTCATCCCTGTACAATTCAGATGCGGGCATGGTGTGAACCGGTCCAACATTGTTTTTTACATTTTTTCAGTTACTTCCTTATTTCTATGCCTAGGCAAATAATGAAGTCATCAGGCGGGCAGGAGGGGTTTTCTCTGCTAAGCTCACCCTCCTGCCTGCATGCTTGAGCTAAGAGCAGATGGATTCCAGGAAGTAAATGCTACATGAATCATTTGCCCTTACACAAGAATGCCATATCTAGAAATGTTAGGGGGGTGGGTTTTTTTTTTGTGTGAAAATAAAGCATGGAGACATGAATGGATGAGTGTGTTTGTATGAATATTAAAAATTAATTAAACAGCGATAAATATATAAGCCCTCACCTTGTAAAATAACCCATTCAGTTTAAAATAGAAATAAAAGGCAAACCATTTGTGTGTAGAATTAAAAAAACATTAAAAGTTCCTTTTTTCCTCTTTTTTATTTTTTTATAAGTGCCGGCATTCCCTCTGTTCTCAGCTGCATAAGGAGCTAGGGGAGGAGAAACAGCAAGACACTGAACTTCCTAGAGAATGGCTAAGCCAGGGGGAGGGGGGGAGTTGGTGTGTCAGCACAAGCCTGATCATTGGATTAGCTTCAGGACAGCCAGAGAATTGACCACGGTGTGCTCTCCTTAGTGTGGTCAGTTTTTAATAGGAAAGCAAAGGGACTGGCAGGAACACCAGGTATTTCTAAAAAAGGAAGAAATAAAAAGAGAACAGGATACTTTTTTCATACAACCACATGGTACAGCAGACACGTATCAGGAATAGTGATAGGCTTTATGTTCGAGTCGAGTGTTCGGTAAGGGCGTTCGGTAGGCTGTTCGTCCACCACGCCACACAATGCACTGCGCCCTGACAGTGTATTGTGATTGGCCAAAGCAATGCTTCAACCACAGGTCAGGTGCAATGCTTTCGCCAATCACAGCGCATGATGATGTCACAAGGGGACGGGGGTAACCCTGCCCCCTTATGATGTCATCACAGTATTTAAGAACTGTCATTGCAGGGCAGCTGTAAGACAGCCAGGAGCCAGCATCAAGAGTGGAGCGTTTTTTTTTCTTTTTTTTTTGGGTCGGTCGTGGTGGTGGGTACCATGATTGATATCGGATCTACTTCGGAGGACTTTTTTTTATTTTTGTTTTTACTAAAGGACTTGTCAAAGGTTGTCTCCTGTCATATTTACACTACACTTTTTCTTTTGTGAATGGGTAGTGGTACCATACTCATTCACATGAGGGGGACGGGATCTGGGGGCCCCCTTGTTAAAGAGGGCTTCCAAATTCCGATAAGCCCCCCGCCCGCAGACCCCTACAACCACCAGCCAGAGTTGTGGGAAAGAGGTCCTTGTCCTCATCAACATGGGGACAAGGTACTTTGGGGGGACAACTCCCCTGCCCACAGCACCCCCACTATGTTGAGGTGATGTGGCCTGGTATCATTAAGGGGGGGCACTCACTCGTACCCCCTTTTTCCTGACCTGCCAGGCTGCATGCTCAGAAGAGGGTCTGGTATGGATTTTGGGGGGGACCCCATGCCATTTCTAAAACATTTTGTCATGAGGGTTCCCTTCAAAATCTATACCAGACCCAAAGGGCTTGGTATGGATGGGATGGCGGACCCCATGCTGTTTTTTTAGAAAAGTTTTTAATTGCTGGACAATGCCGACAATTCTTTTTACATTCAGCTGTCAGTGGGGTACCCACTACTAAAATACTGCATGACTTAATAATATAACTCATGCAGTATTTTAGTAGCTGAGCAATATCTTACTGCATACTCAGATGCGGTAAGATACAGCTCAGTAAATTGTCTCTGTTTGAAGTTCATGGTCGCACTTTCAGTGCGTGAACCAAACGAGGGGTGCTTGGCCCATCACTAATCAGGAATATGAAATGTTGGGTTTACATATTATTTAACTCAAAAAAGTACCTTCTATTTGCTTTCAGCCTCCTGCAAATATTCAAATTTCTTTTTATTTATTTATTGCTGTGATCTGATTTCCTGTTAGAGGGTGGCTACCAGGGGCGGACTGACAACTCATGGGGCCCCCGGGCAATAGGGGATCATGGGGCCCCTATGTCCTTGCCCACACTCAAAAAAAGCCTATAAAAGGTACCAGGGGCATTTAATGGGGCCCCCTACTGACCCCGAGCCCTCGGGCAGTGCCCGAGTGCTCAAATGGTCAGTCCGCCCCTGGTGGCTACATTTGTCCTCCATGGTCCTATTGTATGTAAGAATGTAGCCATCCTCTCTTGCTCTCTTCTGAGGTGGACTAGGGACTATGGACTATAGGGAATGCAGTGTGCAGAGCAGTGCAACTAACTGGCACTGGTCCTTCCAAATAAATGTAAGTGAGTTTGGGAGCTTATGGAGGACATAACAAGGAGATACAGTAAAAAAAACTATTTCATGCAAAATAGATTACAGGGCTATTAAGTAGTGGATGTGTATGGATTATTTTTTGGAGAATAAGGACAATATTTAATGTCACTTTAAAGTGCATCCAAGGTCAAAATATAAAATACTATATTAATTTACACTTTGTATTTCAAATATTTCTAACATACTGTTATTAATTGCAACAATGTAAACTTTGTGAAGATCCCTACACACAGAGGCGAACTGACAAATTATGGGGCCCCCGGGCAATAGAAAATCATGGGGCCCCTGTGTCCTCGCCAACACTCAAACCACACCCAAAAAAGCCTATGAAAGGTATCAGGGGCATCTCATGGGGCCCCCTACAGACCCAGGACCCTCAGGCAGTGCCTGAGTGCCGGAATGGTCAGTCCGCCCCTGCCTACACATTTACTTTCCTGAATTCTGTGACACATATTCACTATGCCCCGTGAGCAGGTATTGCTGTGTTGCACATTTCAGAGTTTGCCTTCCGCACTACAGAAGTACTGAGAGGAGGAGTTATTTTAGGAGGCGGAGTTAGTACAGCAATTTCTGCTTGCATTCAGCAAGGTACCATGGGATATGTAGTCCTTAGAAATTGATAGTAAACAGCAGAGGAGAAGCTATAAAGTATACAGGGAATCCAGGAAGATGTGAAAAGAGATGTCCAATAGACAGGCAGAACTCACATCATAAAAGGAAATTTTCTAAGTTGCCTTCCAATGATCAAGGAGAACCAAGAAGGCAGCATAGTACCCAGACTGCTGCAACTGATCAGTGGATCACGGCAGAGTTAACCACTTGACCTCCACAAGATTTACCCCCCTTCATAACCAGGGTATTTTTTTTTTTGCTTTTTAGCACTGCGTTACTTTAACTGACAATTGCGCAGTCATGCAACGCTGTACAATAATGAAATTTATATCTTTTGTTTCACACAAATAGAGTTTTCTTTTGGTGGCATTTGATTGCTACTGATTTTTTTGTTTATTTTTTGCGCTATAAATGAAAAAAGACCGAATTTAAAAAAAAAAAAATGCTTTTTACTTTCTGCTATAAAACATATCCAATAAAAACATTTTATAATATCAAATTTCTTCATAAATTTTGGCCAAAATGTATTCTGCTACATATTTGTCTGCTACATCCATATATACTGGAATTTTTATTTTTTTTTATTTTTTATAGTAGTAATGGCGGCGATCAGTAAGTTACAGAGGGACTGTGATAGTATGGCTGGCAATTTGACACTAACTGACACTTTTGACACTTTATGGGAAGCCGTGACACTGGTGACACACACAGTGATACAGTGCTCAATGCTAAAAATATACACTGTACTAATGACAATGGCTAGGAAGGGGTTAAATATCTATGGCAATCAAGGGGTTAAATTTGTGACTAGCCAGTGTTTATATGTGTACTGTGAGGTGCTTTCACTAAGGGATGTGGCAGTTTTTATTCACTGCTTTGTAGGGAAACAAAAACTGGCACATCCCCACTGACAGGACAG